TTTTTTTATAATCGCTATATATAACTTTAACAAGAGTAATACGACATTAATTTGAAGAAACTATAAACATTTATCATTTTTAATTGCACGTTTAGAAAATAAAACAGAAAATAATTGTTACCGGTTAGTCACGAGAAAATTTCATCTACTTTAATTCTTTAATCAATTAAACTGCTGGAAATACAAGCGAGATAACCAAGCATTTACCTATATTTGGAAAAACTTAATCTTCTTTAAAGGATCATTACCGGACATTACTAGAGAGCCACTTTTCGGTATTAGCAATTTGGTTTTTTAATGAGCACACATAATCACGCGCGGACGAATATTCTTTTCGGTCATGCATTTAAAGCGACCACAGTCGCCGGCTGAAAGCCATTCGCTCGTCCACAGAAATAAAGTAAAAATTGTCGCCACTGTATGTTTTTGTGTAATCTACTCGTATAAAGGCGCGCGTTTCTCAGCGCGTGCGATTTTACAAAATCTCTTGCGTGTCGCTCATTGCGCAACCATGAAAATTTAGTGGCAATAAAACGTGTCGGGTTTTATCACTCATAATACAGAAAAATGCATAACCTACGGACGCGTCGAGATAGCCGTAAAAAACACATTACTTTTATATTAAGGCGCCGCAGATAAAGCAAGGCGTTTGTATGCGATGGAATCGATAAAGTTACGATGAAATCGATCATTTGGGCGGGTATGTAAATCGATAAACTCGAATTCTATTATGGGAAAAATGGGACGTTATTTTAATAATGCTGTATTTTTTATGTAAACTTGTAAATATTCTGATTAAATATTATCAAGCAAATTGATATATACATGTAAGGCTCTTTTATTGAAAAAAATTGATTTTAATTTAAGTGATCGTATATAAATATATTATAACTGTCAATAATATGTCTTTTTTAGAGAAGGATTTATCATACAAGTTTATAATTAAAACGTTCGAAAATTAGATAAAAGAAAAATTAATATAAATACTTTTCTATTATTTAAAAAATATCTTTTAAAGCTATGAATATTTCGTAATTTTTAATTAAAATCTTAAAAATTAAAAAAGTGAAACAAAATTAATTTTAATTGATAATATGAAAAATTCATAAAACCAATAGTACATTCATATTATTATTGTAACTTTTGCGTACGTTGATATTGATTGCATCTGATACCACTACTGCTGTTCGTGAAAGTTTGGATACACGCTTTCTTCCTGATCTCAAATGCAAATCTAGACTTCCTAATCTAATTCTACGCTATAGTTGCAAACACGTTACGCAAGATCTATTTAAATATCCCTTCTATCTATTGATCTTATAACTTGACATGGCTAAACTATTTCTTCTAGAATTACAAACCTAAACTCCAAATATCATAGAATGTCGCTACATTTTTCTACTATCTTTTATCTTACATGAATCCAAAATTCCTTACAAATTCAAGTTTAACATTATAATAAATTAGATATAATTAAGATAAAAAAATCCGACACCGAATTTTTAAAATATATCTGTCCGAATTTCTGCGAAGTCTCGTCCGAAACAAATCCACTTTAGACTTGTATCGTTCCGCTCTTCAACTACTCGAGATACCGTATCGTCGTGGGCACCGTACGTCAAGTTCACCCACTTCGCGCATCGATTGTCGGCGGTGGAAGAGAATCTCTCGCTCGCTCGCGCACACTTAGCATACGCGTTATATGTATATCTGGTAGCATATAACGACGACCGGCGCGGCGGACGACAACCGAAGGTTGTTCAACTCGGGCGGATCTTGTAACCGTCAAGTATAACGGGTCCTAAGGCCCGCGCACGCCGGGCATCGCGCCGGCGCTCCACCTTCTCGGTTCGGTTTTACCTTCTCGCGAGCTAGGCGAGCGCGTGTGCACGCCGAGAAACCCTCTTCCTCTTCTCTGCCCGCTATAAACCTTCTTCAACCTGGGCACGACTTGTCGAGCTCGCCAGTCAGCCGTGCACCATTGTCGAAAGATCGTCCGGGTAGTCGACACTCTTCGCTTCGCGGTCGCGATCTCTTTCGTTCTCTCTTCCGTTTTTTAAATATCTAACGATTCGTCAAATTTTATAATTTATTTCAAGCATCTATTTATATACTTTTTCATTCTCTCGCTTCTTTCCCGCGGACGTTTGGTGTCTCTTCTTTTCCGAATAGATGGTCGCCGAGTAGTTGACGCGCGGGTTCGTATCAGTGGGTGCGCCGAAAAGTTTGTCTCGCGTCTTTTCGCGGTCGTCGGGGGTGCGTGTGTGTGTTATATATGAAGATCACC